ACCGGACGTCACGAGAGTCTAGGAACTGGTGGAGGGGCGGGTGGTAAAAGGACCAATCGGCAGAGTCCACTGGGAAACCAAGGAAGACACAGGGGACGGCGCGTGCCGAGAGCTTGTCCGCGGAGGTGTCGCGAACAAGCGCAAGGCAACCCCAGACTCGAAAGGCCAACCCGACACCAGGGGAACCAGTCCAAAGACTGGTCGGTGAAGCCTCGGGCCGCGAGACACGCGGCTGGAGGTTCAGCTGGTGTGCGGTGTAGCGAACCGCGTGAGGCCACAGAAAATGGGGCGCACGGGCATGGATCATGGACGTGCGGGCGATGTCCATGACCAAGCCTATGCGGCGCTCAGCAACCCCATTCTGCTGTGGGGACTCTGGCAGCGTCCAGGACTGGGTGATGCCCTGTTCGCCGCAGAATCCGCCGAGAATGCCGGAGCGAAACTCGCCCCCACGGTCGGAGTGGAGACAACTGACTCGACGACCACGAGTGCCCTCAGTGGCTAGAAGCCACCTGATCAGCGTAGCAGTCACCTCGGACTTCTTCGCAAGAGGGAACACTGTGGTGTACCTGGAGAAGTCGTCGACGACCACCAGAAAGTAACGCTCCCTTCCAGACCCCTGCGTCGGGGCAGGGCCCAAGACGTCCAAGTGGAGAGTCTCGAAGGGAGCGGTGGCCGGACGAAGGGAGGAGGAGTGGGGAGTGGCGCGTAAGCGACCGGCGATGCACGGAGAGCAAGGAGGGGCAGGCGAGAGAGGGAGCGACGGGAAGGTGCGTGGGAGACCTGAGACAAGTCCCTGACTGAGCATGCTACGTAGGCGAGGGAGCGACGGGTGGCCAAGGCGGTGGTGCCACAGGACGGTGCGGTGGGTGAGAGAGCGACAGGAGCACGACGCAGCGACGGGACTGGACACAGCGACCGGACCGGACACTACTGCCTGACTAGACACAGCAACTGGACTGGGGACCTGGGCCGAAGGGGACGCAACGACCTGAGGGGAGGACGCGACCGGGGAGCGCTCGGTGTGGAGGACGTAGAGACCGGAGCGGGGCTCCCGGGTGAACGTGGCCAGAACAGCACCTGTGGTAGCGTCTGTACAGACTGCAGTCCGCCCACCCCCCACGAAGGTAACCGTGATCCCCCTGTCCTGGAGGTATCCAACACCCACCAAGTTCCGAGTGAACGAGGGGATGTGGAGGCCGCGCAGGACACCAGAGGGGACCACAGGGCAGGGGAGGGTGGTGGAGCTGCGCGCAACGGCTGGTCCAGAGGTGGGATCAGCCAGAGCCACCGACACAGGGGTGAGGAGTGGTGTAAGGGTCGTGTGGTCGCGGAAGAAGCACTCAGACGCGCCCGAGTCCAGCGTGAACGACAGAGAGGCCTCAGCCGGAGGGTCACCTGACTCAGTCGCTACACAAGCACCTAGAGCAGCAACACAAGCACCTAAGCTAGACAGGCACAAGGCTACACTAGCGGGAGGCAAGCAGGCTAACCTACGAACACGCGAGTACACAGATCCATCAGCACTATAGTCAGCATCAACATACAAAGCATGCTGACGCGCATCGTCCATGGACAGATCAAAGACATCAATCTTACGGGCTAACAGACGAGACCAGCGAGGCGTGACCGCCAGAGGGCCCCAACGAGCCCGGTAGAGGTCGTCGAGGCGGCGGAAGCACCGCGCGGCAGAGTGGTCGTCGCGACCACAGAGACAGGGGCTGCCCGGCCCGGTGACGCACCAGTGGGTGCAGGGGCCAGCGTCACGGCGAGGGGGGCGAGGGGCCCAGCTGGAAGAGCTGCTGCTGCGGACGGTGCTCCCAGGGCCTCCCAGACCCCACTGCGGCGGGGGACCCCAGTGCTGCTGCGGACCCCACTGCAGTGGGGGCCCCCACTGCTAGAACTGCTGCGGTGCCTGCTGCTGCTGCTGTCCCAGCTGTGGCTGGTGCTGCTGTGGCGGCTGCTGCTGTGGCGGCTGCTGCTGGGGGGCAACGCCCCCGCCGGTCGGGCCACCACCTGTGGGTGGGCCTGTCTGTCCTGCACCTCCTCCAAGGCCCCCTCCCCCTGGTGCACCACCGCCGCCGCCGCCGCCGCCTCCGCCACCACCGCCGCTCCCACCTCCACCGCCACCTCCACCGCCGCCACCACCGCCCCCACCTCCCCCCTTCCCGCCCTTCTTGCCACTCTTGCCCCGTTTCTGCCAGTCTGCGGCAGAAACGGCAGCAGTGTCCTCAGAGACCGACACAGCAGCAGAAGCGCGGGTAGCGGTGAAAGTGGGAAGCTGAGGGGCGGCACACCCCGCAAAGAGACGGGAGGCCACCGCATCAGTGGCGGAGGCAACGGTGAGGAGACTGCTCTCGATGGTCCCTAGAGCAGTCGCTAGGAGGTCGATAGTGAGCTCAGTGGGGTGCTTCTGAAGAAGCGCGTCGCGGGCAGTGGCAAGGCGGTCAGGGAGGCGGGTGACTAACCAGTGAAGAGTGAGCCACATGGGGGGGGGAGCAGCTAGAAGCTGTGCGTCGGTACAGGCAGCGCGGAAACCGGCGTCAAGCGAGCGGAGGTGAGTCACTAGGTCGGAAACAGTCGCAAACGAGCCTAGGTCGGGAAACACAAACGGCATGAGGAGGCGACTGAGGGAGGCAGAGGAGGGGGTGGAGTAGCGAGCAACAATAGCCTCCCAAACCCCCTGTGCAGTCTCCACCTGGTCAAAGTGGGCGGCCTCAGTCGGGGGGAGAAGCTCCGACAGAGTGAGAGCGGCGGCTGCGTCACGCGAGAGCCACACGTCCCTGGCCAGGACCCGACGGTTGTAGTCCGCCTGGGCCGTAGGGGTCGGCTCCGGGGCGGTCGGCAGGGCGGCGGGGGACGGGGGGGCCTGTAGGGCACCAGACGCGTGAGCCCACAGAGTGGCGCCGTCCTGCCGCTGGCTGGTGAGGAAGCGCGTGGTCTGGCGCTGCCAGGAGCTAAACTCTATTGGGCGTCCCTCCGCGTCGAAACGGAGGCGACGAGACTCCATGACTGATGCCATGCTAGAGGCGGCTGGAGCTCGGCAGAGGCTGAGCTAAGAACGAGGAGGAAACCTACGGAGCGCCAGGAGGGAGAACGGCGGAGTACTGCTGGAGCACGGAGGAAAACAGAGCTAGGAACGCCAGTCTAGTAAACGGCTGGAGGAGGCAGGTCTGACGAGCCGATCGAGGAGCCAGAGAGTCGTTCGAGGGGCTGGCGGAGCTAGGAGAGATCTAGCTAACAACGAACGTCAAGGCTACCCTAAACAGCTAAGCGGAGCGGCCTCCAGCCGCGACGGTGCGAAACACTGTGAGTATGAGTGACGCGAGTGACGAACCAACGGAGGTCGGGTGGTCCTAGGTGGTGTGCGCGCGAGATAAGAGGATGTGAGCGGTTGGAAGGGGCTGTGAGCGGTTGGAAGGGGCCGTGAGCGGTTGGAAGGGGCTGTGAGCGGTTGGAACGGGCTGTGAGCGGTTGGAACGGGCTGTGAGCGGTTGGAACGGGCTGTGAGCGGTTGGAAGGGGCTGTGAGCGGCTGGAAGGGGCTGTGAGCGGGTGGGAGGTGCTAGCTGGCGCCAACTGCAGGCGGCTAGGTTCCGGTGGCTAGCTGTTGCTGGCGGCTAGCTTCTGCCTAGCCGTGCTGCTGCTGCAGGAGCACGCGCTGCTGCCTAGCCGTGCTTCTGCTGCAATGCACGCGCTGCTGCCTAGCCGTGCTGCTGCAGCAATGCACGCGCTGCTGCCTAGCCGTGCTGCTGCAGCAATGCACGCGCTGCTGCTGCAATGTGCATGCTGCAGTGGCGTGCGCGGCTGCCGCTGGCTAACGCGCGCGCTGCTGCGGGCTAAGGACGACTACGCGGGCCCGCGGGTGGGGGGGGGGGGGAGATTCCCCTCTGGAGCGCGACGAAACGAGGGGCCAGCGGGGCCCTTTAAGCGCGACGAAAAACGAGGCCCGCGGGGGCCCGTAAACGTGACGAAAACGAGGCCCGCGGGGGCCCTTAAACGCGACGAAAACGAGGCCCGCGGGGGCCGTCCTACCCGCGACGAAACGGGGCCTAAGGGACGGGCGCCTCGGGACTGGCTAAGGGAGGGAGCGGAAGCGTGGGAGGGATTAAAACCTACTCTAATACCATCATAAACTAGGCTAGGAGAGAAGTATCGAAAGTATGTTGCGAGTAGTGAGAGGCAAGGGATAGAAGTGTCGACCTAAAGTGTTGTACCCTTTAGAGGGCAACTCACTGTAGCCTAGACTAACAATATAAAGAATATATAACATTTGACAGTACTCCCTTGGAATTCAGGCGCATAAAATGTCGCTGACATTCAGGCGCATTGCTGGTTGTTGAAATTATCCAGGGCTACGATTTTTTCAGCATCTACACCAGCCAACCCAAGGTTATCAATTCTCCAGCCCGCCCATGTGTGCGAGGCACTGAAGATCGCAAAAAATCAGTGAAGAGGGGCGTGGGCTGCTGGGAAGAGGGCAAGGGAAGGGAACTCAACCTAAAGAACACTTGCAGTTTGCATGATTCGAAATCACTAAAATCTTTTGACCTTGACAATCAAATCATTCAGAGGCTTGCCCTGGCAAACTTGATTTGCCTGGACACTTTCCAGCTTTCCTTTTCCCCTTCCCTTTTTCAGCAAAAGAGAGTAGCTTGTTCTATTGTTTCACTACCCCACCAACCTCCTTGCTCCCACCCAATCAAACCCATCACTCCTCTCCTCTGGAATAACTGAACCTTCAGAAACAAGAGATCCTTCAGAGAGGCTCAACGACGAATATCTCAACAACCTCCTCCCTCCTTCCCCTCCTCCCCACGCTGTCGTGAGCATCAGCTCCTGCATTCTTCCAAAAAACTCGACTCATCTGACAGAACTGACCCTTCAGAAACAATCGATCCTTCGGAGAAACTTGACGACTCCCGCAACAAGCTCATCCCTCCCTCCCCTCCTTTCCAAGCCGTTGTGAGCATCAGCTCCTGCATTCTTGGATGCTGTATTCTAGAATCCGATAACCGTTCTGGATGCGGCAACACCAGAAGGCCTATCGACGGGACTTCCGGTCTTTGAATAGGCTTTTGGGACGTCAATCCAATCACCTGACCGGTTTTGGAGCCCTGTCTAGGGTCTGAGTGAGATTCTTTGCTCCCCTGTGCAAGATGCGCCCTCTCCTCTGCCCTTCTTGTCCCCTCTTTGAGCTCACCCGCTCTATCTATACTCTGCTTCCTCAGCGACCCCTTCTCACCGTCTCGCTCATCCTCCTCGTCCGTTTCCTCATCCTCTGACCCAACCACGATACTGAGAAGAGGAATCCCTTCCCTCTCACCCTCCTCCCCCCCTGCCAATCCTGCTTCTCCCTTTCCTCGCCCCACTTTTATTCCCGTCACCACTGCTCCTCCCCCTCCCAATCCTCCTCCTGAAGCACTCGCCTGAGTGGCAGTGGCATGGCCGTACATGACCATTCCTGTGACCGCTATACACATGCCGAGGATGCCTTTAAGGGAGATGGCAGAGTCGAATAGCACCACTCCCAGCACGAGCACTAGCACGGTCTTCATGTGGCCTAACACCTGGTAAGTCGAGGCGGAGAATTTCCCGATGCAGAGGTAGGCGCTGAGATTGCAGACCACTGCTAGGCAGCAGGAGAGAGTTATGAAGACCTGTAATGGAAAAGGGAGTACCAAAAGGAAGAGGAGCAGGAGGTGAGGGAGAGCCGAGGGAAGGACGACGAGGAGCAGCATGAAGGCCTGGAGAGGTGCTGATTGGCTGAAAAGTTAAGGGAGAGGGAGAAACTGAGGTATCAGTTCAGCCGTACTCACAATGGCGTAGGGCTGGTAATGGTAGTCGAGGAGGGAGCGGGAGGTGAGGAGGAGGTCGAGGGAAGGACCGATGAGGAGCAGCATGAAGGCCTGGAGAGGTGCTGATTGGCTGAGGAGATCGAAGGAGCCAATGGAGTATCGTTCTTGGAGCAGACCAATCAGCTGTGAGAATGGGAAGGAGAGTATGGGGAGAAAGGAAGGCGATGTTAGCAGGAGGGAAGGAGAATGGTGGAAGAGGGAGTGGATCGAGAAGGTCGAGTTTCATTCTGCAAGGGCAGAGGGCTAACAAGGGCTTTGCAGAGTGATACCATCACATGCACATTGCCATATTTATTGAATGCAGGCATCGTACCATCATGTGCATGGCGGAGCAGAGAACTGCAAATGCAGCCACTGCTAGCCCAAGTGGGTTGACATGGATCTCCGAGACAGTGCAGAGGGCGACGCCCAGCATGACCACCAATTCTTTGAGTCAATTCAAGTCGAGTCATCAAATCGTACCATCATGTGCATGGCCGAGCAGAGCACAGCAAAAGCAGCCACAGCTAGTCCCAGCGGGTTGACATGGATTTCCGAGACAGTGCAGAGGGCGACGCCCAGCATGACCACTGCGACGGCTGCTTTCACCCGCGGGGTGAACGATCGCCCCTTGAAGACAGCCTCGAAGAAACAGACGGTCGGGATGATGCTGACCTTGGAGATCTACGGTTGAGAACGGAGGGGGTGTGGCAGGAGAGGGTTGTGGGGGGGAATATGAGACGAGGAGGGGAGAAAGATAGTGAGGGAAAATGAGAGGAGGTGAGGTGAGGGGGGGGGGAATGAGAGTGAGAGAAGTTGATGGGGCCTGGACCAGCCCGAACCAGGAAGAGCAACAGCACCACACGCCGTAGCTGAGCAGTGTGACTCGTTACAAGCTGAACAGCGTGACTCGCCAAAAGCTGAACAGCGTGACTCCTCCAAGCCCACCTGGTAGAATCCGACGGAGTTGAGGAGGAGCGAGGGGTTGGTGGCGACGAGGGTGACGGAGTGTGACTCGTTACAAGCCAAACAGCGTGACTCGTTACAAGCCCACCAGGGGAACGAAAGGAGAGACCCACCTGGTAGAATCCGACGGAGTTGAGGAGGAGCGAGAGGTTGGTGGCGACGAGGCTGGCGTTGCCGAGAAGAGCGAAGCCCAGCAGCACGGGGAGGGGCACGCTGAGCTGCCTGGGGACCAGCCCCGCGCACGCTGATGCGACCCCCGTTAGGGCTGTGAGCGCGAAGTGCATCCCCGTCAGTGTGCTGACTGGACGAGGGGGAGTATGGAGGGGAAGAAGGGGGAATGAAAGGGGAGGTGAGAAGCCCAGCCCAGCAGCACGGGGAGGGGCACGCTGAGCTGCCTGGGGACCAGCGCCGCGCACGCTGATGAAGAGAGGGGGGAAGGGGATGGGGAGGGGGACGAAAGGGGAATGAGGAGGTGAGAAGGCCAGCGGCACCCCCAGCGGCACGGAGAGCTGCCTGGGGACCAGCCCCGCGCAGGCTGACGCGCATCCCGGTTAGTGATGAGACTGGGGGAGGGGGAAGGAAAGGGTTGGGGGTGTGAGGAGGCGAGGAACGGGAGGAAGGGAGGCGGTGTAGGGTGGGGAAGGGAGGGAAGGGGAAAGGGGGACGAAGGGGGAGAGATAGGAAAAGGGATATAGGGGGTTACGAACTCTGTTTCTGCGGTACTACCGAGTACGAAGCAACTATTACCGAAGACGAGGCAAATACGAATCAGCTCTTACCGAAGCCGTATCCGGAAATGACTTGCTTGTTGACCATAATGATCCCCACCCACCCCGGCCATACTCTAACGAGTTACATGGCTTACCGAATCAATTCTTACCGAAGACAAAGCCGTATCCGGACATGACTTGCTTGTTCACCATGATGATCCCCACCCACCGACCCCATGAGTCGCTCTAGCCACGTGCGACTGACTAGATTAATAATGTCTTACCGAATAACGAGGCATCTCTTACCGAATACAAAGCCGTATCCGGACATGACTTGCTTGTTCACCATGATGATCCCCACCGACCCCACCACGTTCATCGACCAGATGCCCACCGTCGCCGCACATGACGGCGGCTCTCGCGCTGCTGCTGCTGTTGCGTCGCCGCGCGCTGCTGCCACCATTTCGTTCGACGCAGCTGCTGCTGTCGGTTTAAAGTCGGACCCGAATATTGACGTTAACTCGTCATGGTTCGATTCGAATGCCGAGAACGTAGGCGACGGCGACGATTCGCGAAACTGTTGGTTTTGCGGTAACTCGAACGACGAAAACGACGACCTTTCGTACGCCTGTTGCTGCTGCTCTAATGGCGACATATCGCACAACCCCGCACACGAGAGTCTAAGTCCGTAGCCTCCGGCAACAGAGAGAACGTACCTCGCAGGGTAAAACACCCAGTTAGTACGCAAAATGATGTACTACCTGCCCTGATACCTCTGGTACAGCTGAAACCTCTAACTACTTCTAGCGAGAATGTTATGACATAGTAGCGGCTTGAAGCACGGAGGCTGATGCTAGGTCAGTAGCGGGAAAATCCACGACAGACACGTACTGTTGCTGATAAACGCTAGTAAGCCACGATATGGCGAGTCCAGGTAAGTGAGGTGGAACATTATTGATTGATGTGAAGGTGCCGAAGTGAGGAGAGGAGAGATTAGGAAGACAGAACGAGAAGTGGGTGCGAATGGCGGTTGTTGGAAGTTGGACAACCAACCGAAACAACCAATGGGAGTGTTTGAGAGTGACCCGCCCGACTCCCTCCCTATTCTCCCGAATCCAGGAACAATGCAGAAGACCACCACCACACATTGTTTCTGGTGAAGGTTTTACATTTCGGGACACCCCTTCCGGAGTGCTTTCTCTGCGTTTTTCCTTTTCCGAACTACCCGTCGACATTTGCTGCTACTAGCCACGGTTTTGGAGCATACACTGGAATATAAAAGTTTGGGGACTGAAGAGTACAGTGGTGCAACCAGTAAACCAGGTTGACGCTTTTCCCGCAAACCACAACTCACGTTTCACACCGTGAAGAACAACAGAGAACGCTTGATCTCGATCACAAACCATCACCTTGGATTTCACCTGAGCGGCCAGGCTTATTTTCAAAGGCGACAAGGCATCCTCCAATAGCTTGGACTGTATCCGCTGTTTCGCCATCAGCTGGTTACTCACAGACATTCTCGAGAGGCACTGTCAGGTGTTCGTACACAAGCGAGGATTCTGGCGAACTTTGGTGCGAAGTTTGCATGCATGCGATCAGGGCTTTGATCAGTTTTGCACAGTGGCGACAGGCTAGGTTGGTGAAATCTCAGGATCCAGGGCACAGGCGAAACGAAACGTCACAGGCAAACGCAAGCAGCAGGTGGGGCAAGCCTGGAAGGGGTCCACATCAAATTCTATCTTCGGATGGGCGAAAACAAAGTGCGGTACATGATGCCCGCTAAGTACCCACAACTTTTTTCGTCATTTGGGTGTCTAGTGAGCAACAGCTTTTTCGCCTGCTCGCCAACATTCGCCACGGGCAAAATCGGGTATGTAGTGGGCAGGTGAAGAAATGTAACCAGCGCCTTCAAAAAACTCTCACGAACGGACAGATGCCAGCGTGATAAGGACGTGTCTCACTTCCAACGAGTCTGCGAGCCGGTCCGCTCTTGGAAACGCTGCACCCCAAAACCGTGGACTGGTCCGCCGGACCAGGCTGAGTCCGTACTGGCGAACCAGCTTCGGACTGGTCCGCTGATGAAATCTACAGTGGCGTGTAGGCGAGAACACTGCGTGTTTTTCCCAACACTAGGTTACTATGACTCGTAAGGACTCCATGTCATTGGGCAATCCGCCATCGCGCGCTGTCAAGTTTTGCGACACTCGTGGGGTGAGTTCGCAGCTATTCGTGAAAAGACGACTGTTCAGGAGTCCGACGTGGACCAGCTCGCCGAACCAGTCAAGACTCCCCAGTACAGTCCTTTTCCGTCGTTAAAACACGCGGGTCCACGCTTCGGTCCACGCTCGGGTCCGTGGTGGTTTGGTGGACTGGTCCACGTCGACCGCCTAGATCCAGCGTGGACCGAAGATTTTGAGACACCCTCTAAGCTGTATGTTCAACGGCTGCGATCAAAATATGGGCTTGTATCGTGCGTGCAACTGGCTGGTACCAAATGCAATTGGGCAGGCTTACGGGCAGACCAAATGTGCGTGCAACAGCTGAGCATCGTGTGTAACGAGAAGGTTGGTCGCGAGATGGGAAGAACAGTGCAATACGCGGTATGCAGGATCACGCGGAGTCAGGAGTTCTAGTTGTACAACGGGTAATCGCAATACATTGAAATAGGATCGATAACGTGAAAGCTCAAAATGACTGCCCCGAGTGAGGATCGAACTCACGACCTTAGGATGGCTACCGTCTCACGAAAGTGAGAAGTCGAATTGCTATGAGACCTACGCGCTACCGACTGCGCCATCGAGGCTTGACAACGGCAAAAATTTAAATTATTCATCAATGTGTCTTCTGGACACCACTAATCTGGCTGGCGCACGAGCATTGGGCAGGTCTGCAAGTAGCAGCCATGACTTGATTTTTTAGGGCGCATGGGACATATGATGGCAGCAGTGGCGTCGCGGATGCCGTGACAGAGCGACTGTCTATATGTCACTATTTCTCTCCTGTCAGTTGTAAGAGGAAAGTAGCGACCCAATTTATCAGCGGTTCACATTAGGAGTAAGCTGCGGGAAGGGGCGGCGGCGAAAACTCGCAGCGTGGTTCAATTTCCTGCCGCCGTTTAGGCATTCGCCCGTAGCAGCAGCAACAGCGCCGGCCGACGAGCCATTTACTGACAATATGATGACTGCTAATTCGATTAGATATTAAATTCGCCCGTAGCTGCATCAGCCGCTGAAGAGGCGTAAGTAGCAATGTGGCGCGACCAGACGTCGCTAGTAGATGACTCACCAAGCCACAAAAAGGCTTAAAAATAGCAGCGCAACAGCAGTAACAGCACCAGCAACACCACCAGCAACACCACCAGCAACGGGGAGGCGCTAATAGTAGTAGCTATGACGCGGCCAGACGTCGCTAGCAGATGACTTACCAGATGACTTACTAGGTCACAAAGACTTAAAATAGCAGCAGCAGCAGCAGCAGCAGCAGCAGCAGGAAGTAAGAGGTGCTAGTAGTAGCAATGGCGCGGCCAGAAGTCGCTAGCAGATGACTTACCAGATGACTTACTAGGTCACATAGACTTAATATAGCAGCAGCAGCAGCAGCTGAGGGGCGCTAGTAGTAGCAATGGCGCGGCCAGACGTCGCAATCAGAGCGGCGGGCGGCGGGAGGTGGCGCGGACGGGTGGCAGCGTTGGCGTATCTCGCTGCATTCGCACTCGCTATAGGGGTGAACTTGAACCCTCTGTACCGATCCAAACCGCAGCAAATGACACACGATCCCCTTCTCTCTGTTTCAGATTCTGCTGCTGCTGATGCTGCTGCTGGTGCTGGTGCTGGTGGTGCTGGTGGTGCTGGTGCTGTTAGTGGTGGTCAAGTTAGTGGTTCTGATAGTACTAGTAGCACCTCCCACATAGACTCCTCTCCCTCATCTACCCTCGCAGCCTCCCATTCTCCTCCGCCTTCCCCTCCGCTTCCTCCCCCCGTTCCCCCTCCGCTTCCTCCCCCCGTTCCCCCTCCGCTTCCTCCCCCTTTTTCCCCACCACTTCCTCCCCCCCTTTCCCCTCCGCCTCCTTCCCCTCCCGTCTTTCCTCCGCCTGTTCCTCTCATTTCTCCTCCTCCTTCCGGTTCCCCGCCCCCTCCTTCTCCTCCCCTTTCTCCTCCTCCTTCCGTTTCCCTTCCACCTCCTGCTCCTCTCCTTTCTCCTCCTCCTGCTCCTCTCCTTTCTCCTCCTCCTGCTCCTCTCCTTTCTCCACCTCCTTCCCCAAGAGAAGAGACAGCAGCAGCAGCACAAACAGCTATACAAGAACCAGCATCAGCAGCAGCAGCACTCGTTTCACCAGCTGACGTGGCAGGAGCCCCTCCCGTGTCAATCGTTTCAGCTGCTGACGTGGCAGCAGACGCGGAGGAAGGGCAGGAGAGTCTGCAAGCGGGGCTGACTATAGTGAATACATCTAGTGATCCCGGTGCAGGTAGGTAGGTGCTACAGTCTGGGTGGCTGGGCTGCTGCTAGCGGGGCTGACTATAGTGAATGCTTCTAGTGATCCCGGTGCAGGTAGGTGCTATGGTCAGTCTGGGTGGGGGGCCATATAGCTGGAAGGAAGGCTAGGCAGTTACTAGTGATGGAGGGCTTGGGGGGGTGAACGGCTGGGTGTTGGTGATTCGGTGGGGGCAACACGTGTGGTGAGGTGACTTTTGAGTCGACTCCAAAGCCACCTTGTGAACGGCTGGGTGTTGCGATGGATGATGGATGGGTGATTCGGTGGGTGAAACACCTGTGCTGCAAAGGAGGACGGCTAGGTTGCAAGTGGTGGGGCGCGGTGGTCTTGGGATCGGTTGACGATAAGTACAGGGCTGGCGATAGTGATGCCTTCTGATTATCTTGTTGCTGGGGTTATGAGTTGTCATGTCACTGGGATGGATGGATGGATGGATGGATAGGCACGTGGATCAGCTGGCGGGAACGGTAGGCTGCTGTTGTTGGGGTGGGGCTGAGGATAGGCTTCATCATTATCTTGTCCTGAGAAATGAAAGGGTAGGCTGCTAGTGCTGGGAAACGCGTTGGCTGTGACTTTTGAGTCGACTCAAAAGGACTGCCATGCATGGTGTGGCCAGCAGGAGAGAGTGAGAGCGTAGCATTTGTGACTTTTGAGTCGACTCAAAAGTCACCTCTGAGGATAGGGATGCTTCATCATTATCTTGTCCTGGAAAACGCGTTGGCTGTGGGATGGAAGGACGGATGGGTAGGCGGTTGGGTCAGCTGGCCTGACCAGAAGGGTAGGCTGCTAGTGCTGAAGGAAAAGCAGCCTGGCCTGGCGAGGCTGCTAGTGCTGTCACCCCTCTGCTATAGGGGCGGGGCTGCTGGCCGGATGGGTAGGCGGTTGGGTCAGCTGGCCTGGCCAGAAGGGTAGGCTGCTAGTGCTGTCGCCCCTCTGCAATAGGGGCGGGGCTAACAATACGGATTTGTCCTGAAGTTCTCAGCACACGTGCTGATTCCCCTCTGCACCCCTCTCCATCCCTCTCCATTCCTCTCCACCCCCATGGTCCTCCAGTCTGCCTGGACGGTTCCCCTCCAGCCTTCAACTGGCATCCTGGCAGGGGCACCGGGAGGAACAAGTGGATTCTCTATCTTGAGGTGGGTGCTGTGCGGTGCAGGGAGGTGATGTGCTGTGCTATAGATTAGCCTACAGTGCATTGCGCAAACTCCTCTCTGGCCTTCAACTGGCATCCGGGCAGGGGCACAGGGAGGAACAAGTGGATTGTCTATCTTGAGGTGGGTGCTGTGCGGTGCAGGTTGGTGACGTGCGGTGCAGCAAATTGCTGTGCAATGCTTCAATGTTCAGTGTTGTGGGATGAATTTGTCCCCTCCAGCCTTCAACTGGCATCCTGGCAGGGGCACGGGGAGGAACAAGTGGATTCTCTATCCTGAGGTTGGTGCTGTGCGGTGCAGGGAGGTGATGTACGGTGCAGAAAATTACAGTGCATTAATGTGCGGTACTGTGGGTTGGATTGCGCAAACTCCCCTCTGGCCTTCAAATGGCATCCTGGCAGGGGCACGGGGAGGAAAAAGTGGATTCTCTATCTTGAGGTGGGTGCAGTGCGGTGCAGAGTGGTGATGTACGTGCAGTGCAGTAGATTACAATGCAGTGAGTTGCGGTACTGTGGGGTGGATTTCTCCTCTCCGGCCTTCAACTGGCATTCTGGCAGGGGCATGGGGAGGAACAAGTGGATTCTCTATCCTGAGGTCGGTGCGGCACGCGGTGTAGTGTGGTTGTATGTGGTGCGGTAGATTACAGTGCGTTGCACCAGTTCTTTCCATTTGCCTTCAACTAGCATCCTGGGAGGAAAGGGCATGGGGAGGAAGAGCAAGTGGATCCGCGAGCAGTGAGGCGCGTTTTGAGGCGCCTCAAGAATCACCTCAGGGCATGGGGAGGAACAGCAAGTGGATCCGAGCTGGTTTTTGAGAATTCTCAAAAACCAGCTCGTATCTTGAGGTGGGCTGCCCACCATAACTGGACACCTCCCGCCCCGCCCTGCGTGCCACCTGCACTGCATGGACTCAGCACACTGCTACCTGGTCTTCTCCCTTGCACGGCACACACTGCTACCTGGTCTTCTCCCTTGCACGGCACACACTGCTACCTGGTCTTCTCCCTTGCACGGCACACACTGCTACCTGGTCTTCTCCCTTGCACGGCACACACTGCACCTCTATTATTCTCCCTCCCTGCATCCCACGTGCGTCCCTGCAGCAGGCAGGCATGAGTGCATTGCCGAACCGAACTGGTTCGTTTCGAACCGTCCAGATCCCAGGCCGGTTCGAGGTTCGGTATTATAGTCATCAAACCGAACCGCGGCATGACCGGTTCGTAGCGAACCGGTTCGGTTCGAACCTTCTCGTCCCTCCTCACCCCTCGTCACCCCTCCTCGCCCCTCTTCGCCTTTGGATAAAAAAAAATAGTCGAACCGGTCAAACTGTCGAACTAGTTCGATGACAAAACGGTTTGACCCGTTTCAAACCTAAACAAGATTACAAGGCTGAGGCTCGGCTCAAACCGAACCGAACCGAACCGCATTGAACCTAACTGCGGTTCGGTTCTTTTCTCATCCCTACCCTGCAGGGTGGGGCGTGGTGCATGGCCGCAGCTCACTTCATGGACAGCAGCTTCAGCCGAGGTAAAGCGCACATCTCCCTTTTGCTCCCTTGCTTGCACTCTTGCGTCCTTGCAGGGTGGGGCGTGGTGCATGGCTGCAGCTCCCTGCATCGACCGCAGCTTCAGTTGACTCACAACAAGGCACACCTCCTGCCCTGCCTGCCTTGCTTGCACATCCCCCCTGCAGGGCGGGGCGTGGTGCGAGGATGCCGCTCACTGCATCGATCGCAGCTTCTCCAACTTCGGTTCCTCCACCACACCTCCCACCCACCCCACCTGCCTGCAGGGCGGGGCGTGGTGCATGGATGCAGTTTTGAGACGTCTCAAACCCACCTCCCACCCCACATCCCTGCAGGGCGGGGCGTGGTGCATGGACACAGCGCACTGCATCGACCGCAGCTTCTCCAACTTCGGTTCCTCCTCCAAGATGGGCGATTGGATGCTGCAAGGGCTGCTCTCTTCCAGCCGTAAAACCAACCCCGGTGAGCATAACAACCACCCCTGGTCATGGTAAGTGCACAACTTCGGTTCTTGCACCAAGATGGGCAACTGGTTGCTGCAAGGGCTGCTCTCTTCCAGCCGTAAAACCAACCCCGGTGAGCATAACAACCACCCCTGGTCATGGTAAGTGCACAACTTCGGTTCTTGCACCAAGATGGGCCACTGGCTGCTGCAAGGGCTGCTCTCCTCCAGCCATACAACAAACCCTGGTAAGTGCTGGGACTTTTCCCCCCTTGCTTGTGCCCCCCCCCTTGTCAAAACTAGAGCTTAGAATTGATACATTAGTAACGGGCTTGAAGCTCTTTACGTACATCCAGGATGGGCAAGGAAAGGATGGGAAGGGAATCAGGGGAAATCTCTAGGGATTGGGGGTTATCCCAAGGCAATCGCCAATTGGTGGGTTGGAGATTGTTTGGAGATCACATTTGGGTTTGGTTGGGATGTTGGTGTACACCCAACCAAACACTACGCTAGGATATAGAAAGTACAAAATATTAAGTGGGAGATTGATGTCTAACTCGCTCTAGTGACTTCTGCCCCTCCTTTTTAGTGCCGCCTCGCCCCTCCTCTCCTCCACCAAGGTGGGCCACTGGATGCTGCAAGGGCTGCTCTCTTTAGTGCCCCCTCGCCCCTCCCACTGCGTGCCCCAGCCTCTCTCTAGTGGCTTCTGCCTCTCCCCTCTAGTTGCCTCTGCCCCCTCGCCCCTCCTCTCCTCCACCAAGATGGGCCACTGGATGCTGCAAGGGCTGCTCTCTTTAGTGCCCCCTCGCCCCTCCCACTGCGTGCCCCAGCCTCTCTCTAGTGGCTTCTGCCTCTCCCCTCTAGTTGCCTCTGCCCCCTCGCCCCTCCTCTCCTCCACCAAGATGGGCCACTGGATGCTGCAAGGGCTGCTCTCCTCCAGCCGTAAAACAAACCCCGGTGAGTCCCTCTATTCCCCCTCTCCCCCACCACCTTCCCTCCCACCTTCCCTCCCACCCTCCCCCCTACCTTCTCTCCCACCTACCCCCACTCTCTTTCTTCATCCCCCCACTCTCATTGCGATCCCACTCTTTGCGCCTCTTCCCTCTCCCTCCCACCTCCCCCCACTCCAGACTTCTTCAACTGGAACGCAATGGACCTTACTCCATACCCACACCCTCACTGAAACCCCCCTGCTTCCACCTCTCTTTCCTTCCCTTCCACCTCCTCCTTCCTCCCCCCCTTCTCCCCCTCCCCTCCCCTACCAGACTTGTTCAACTGGAACCTGGTATGTATCCATCCGCTACTGTGATAGAACTTCCTTCATCCCCCCACCCTCATCAAGAGTCCTCTGCTTCCATCCTTCTGTCTGCCCACTCTCTGTGCTCCCTCTCCCCTCCTCTCCCCTCCTCTCCCCTCCCCTCCCCTCCCCTCCCCTCCCCTCCCCTCCCCTCCCCTCCCCGCCCCTCCGAGACTTGTTCAACTGGAACCTAATTTGTATCCGATCCGTTACTGCCATAGACCTTCCCTCCCCAACCCCTGTTCCCTCCTCTTTGCTTCCCCCACCCCACCCCCCCCTCCCTCTCCAGACTTGTTCAACTGAAACAGGGTCTATATCCGCCGCTACTGCGATGGGGCTTCCTTTGTCCCCCACCCTCATTAAAATGCCTCTGCTCCCATCTCTCTGCCCCCCTCTCCCCACCTCCCTTTCCCTCCTCTCCAGACTTGTTCAACTGAAGCATGGTCTATATCCACCGCTACTGCGATGATGCTTCCCTTCCCAACCTCTGCTGCCTCCTCTTTGCTTAACCCTAAACCCCTCCCCTCCCCTTACCTCCCTTCCCAGACTTGTTCAACTGGAACATGGTCTATATGCGCTACTGTGATGGAGCTTCATCCTTCTTGCCTCCACCCTTTAAACAATCTGCTTCCACCTCTGCCCCCCCTATTTTACCTGCATTTCCCCCCTCCTCCTCCCAGGCTTCTTCAACTGGAACATGGTTTATATCCGCTACTGCGATGGGGCTTCCTTTATCGGCAATGTTGACGAGCCAATCAGAGACCATGTGAGTGCATGGGGAGAAGGAGCACAGGGAATGGTGGAGCTTCTTTTATCGGCAATGTTGACGAGCCGCTCCGAGACCATGTGAGTGGATGGCTGGTGTGAAGGAGCATAGTAAGTAGCTTGGCTGCTGGGTTGGTGTGGTGTGAAGGGGCAGAGTGAATGTCAAACGTAGGACTGATGGGGCTTCCTTCATTTCATGGGCAAAGTTGACGAGCCGCTCCGAGACCATGTGAGCCGTTGGTGTGACGGAGCAGAGTGAATGGTGTGAATGTGAAGCGGCAGAGTGAATGGTGTGAATGTGAAAGGGCAGAGTGAATGGTGTGAATGTGAAGGGGCGGAGTGAATGTCAAGCGTATGATCGACTGATTGAGCTTCCTTCATTTCATTGGCAAAGTTGACGAGCCGCTCCGAGACCATGTGAGTGGATGGATTGTTCTGTATGCCATTAGTTAAAAGGTGCTTCAATCAAATTTTTGAGCGAGTGACAGGGCAAACGTCGGCAAGTTACTTAACTTTAAGGTAGTGCACACATAGTCCTTTCTGACTTGAAAGGAACTTGACTAACGCCGTCCGGGCTATTAAAGTTAGTCCTCGCTTGGCTCTTTTGAGTCCTCTAAAAACTCTAAGGTGATGCAAATAGTCCTTCCCGCCTAATGCCGTCCGGGCCGACGTGTCTTCATCGCCATTATCTCCCACCTGTTAGCCCACCATGGCATGCAGTCACCCTCTCATGTTCACTGTTCATCTCTAGTACCGCATTCCCCCTATCCCCCCCTGTCCCTTCACCCACGCAGGAAGGCAAGCCTCAGATCTACATGCGGGGTCGTCGTGTCTTCAATGCCATTCTCTCCCACCTGCTAGCCCACCACAGCATGCGCTCAGCCTCCCACATCCTCCTCTCCGGCTGCTCTGCTGGTGGCCTGGCAGCCCTCCTCCTGTGCGACAGCCTGGCTGACCGCATGAGGAGCTTGAGGGAGAATGAAGAGCTTGAGGGAGTGGGGAGAGGAGGGGAAAAGGGAGGAGTGGTGGTGAAGTGCATGTCGGATGGCGGGTACTTCCTGGATGCGAGGGATATTGGCGGCAGGCACTTCCTGAGGGAAACCATGTTTCATCGGGTTGCTGCGTTTCATGTGAGACGGCTGGCTGTGTTATGTCTGAGTTCCTTGCGTTGGATGCGAGGGATATTGGCAGCAGGCTCTTCCTGAGGGAGACCATGTTCAATCGGGTTGCCACGTTCCATGCGAGTTCAGTGTGGTTCGTGTGTGAGGTCGGTTGCTGTGTCACACACACGTGAGGGAGGGGTGGTGGTGAAGTGCATGTTGGATGGGGGTTACTTTCTGGATGCGAGGGATATTGGCGGCAGGCTCTTCCTGAGGGAGACCATGTTTCGCCTGGTTACCGCGTTTCACGTGAGTTTGGTGTGTTGTCTTTGAGTTCCTTCCTTGCGTTGGATGCTAGGGATATTGGCGATTGGCTCTTCTTGAGGGAGACCATGTTTAATCAGGTTGCCGCGCTCCACGTAAGCTCGTCTGGTCTGGTTACATGCCGTGTTACATTACATGCATCCTCTGGTTGTGGGGGTTACTTCCTGGATGCAAGGGATATTGGTGTCAGAACTTGAGCTTAAAATCCATGCATTAGTAATGAGCTGAAAGCTCCTTAAGTACATTGGAAATGGGCAAGGTAAGGGTGGGGAGAGAGTCGGGAGCAATCCTAGGAAATTGGGGGTAATCCCAAGGCAATCTCCTATAGGTGGGCTGGAGATTGCTTGGAGATCACATTTGGGTTTAGTTGGGATGTGGGTGTACACCCAACCAAACATAAAGTGCAAACTACACTAAACTAGGATATAAAAAGTACAAGTACAAATGTGAGATTGAGGGCTAACATTAACACCCCGCCACAGGCGTCAATCGAACTCATGGCAGAGAAGGAGGAGCGCAGAGCCCCATGGTGCCTAGAAGGCGATGATGAGGAACCTTCTCAAGGGGCTTGGTGAACAGATCATAGAAGTTGCAATCAAAAGCTACGTACTCCACATTGAGCTGCTCCCACTGGACAAGGTCACGGATGAAGAAGTGCCGAAGTTCGATGCACTTGGTGCGAGTGTGGTACATGGGATCCTGGGACAGGTGGATGGTGCTCTTGTTGTCACACCAGAGCGTGGGAGTGGGCTGAGGGTTGCCAAGCTTCTGGAGTAGGAAGGTGAGCTAGCGGGCCTCCTGAGCCGCCATGGTGCCAGCGTAGAGCTCGGCCTCACAGGAGGAGAGAGAGACTACAGACGACCGGGTGGAGCGCCAGCTGACAATTCGGCTCCCAAGGGTAAAACAGTAGCCTTGGGAGGAGCGTCGGTTGGTCTGGTCATCAGCCCAGGAGGAGGCAGTGTACCCTTCCAGTCGAGGAGGAGAAAGCCCACCAAGGGTGAGGACATGAGACTTGGTGCCCTGCAGATCTAAGTGGAGAAAGACGCACGCGTCCTGCTGCGTCCTGCGTCTCGACGCAGCGTCCAGACGCAGAGACGCAGGACGCACCTCGTTTTTTTTTTCAGGCTGACCGGAAAAAAAATTGCCTCAGCGCGAAATTGCCTCAACGATTTCGACGCGACTGTCAATTTCGCGTCATGTCGACCCCCCCTAACCCATTTCGACCATCAAAAACACCCTAGAGGGTTTACCAAGACAATTCTCCTTCGTAAACCCGAAACCCTGGAAATGTAAAGGGGACGATTTTGCCTCAAATGTGTGCATCGTCGTCCCCCCCCCCCCCCCCCTTCCCATACCCTATAACATCATTTTTCGGCTGTCCAGGGTTTTTTTTTGCCCTGCCCGGGCATGCGTCTTTTCATGCGTCCTTAAGGCCCTCCTCTAGCGTCCTGCGTCTAAGACGCTGCGTGTGGACGCAAGCGTCTTAGACGCAGGACGCGTCTTTCTCCACTTAGCTGCAGATAGCGCAGCACCCGCTTTGCCGCTTTCCAGTGAAGGTCGGTGAAGCGCCCAGGAACCGCATACCAAGAGAGGACACTATTAGGGTATGCCAAGTCAGGTCGGGTACACATCATGGCGTACATGAGGGACCCAAAAAGTTCTGGGTATGGCTCAGTGCATGCCTCTGGTGTGGGTACAGCTGGAGCGGCGAGGAGGTGTTGCAGCGGCAGAGGGGTGGCCGTAGGTGTGCACAGCTCCATCTCAAAGCGCTTGAGTACATTGTTGATGTAGAACTCCTTGGAGAGTGGAATGGTGCGAGCATGGCGATCGCGAGTAATCTCCATCCCCAAGTAGTGTTTGAGGTCACTGAGGTCTTTCATCAGGTGGGTCTTGCTCAGGGCCGCCTGGACAGAGGTCATCTGGGCCGAGTCCTTGGTAACAAGGATGAAGTCATCGACGTAGACAAGGATGTAGAATGGCTCAGAGTGACGATGAATGAAGAGGGTTGGGTCAGCTGAGGATGGGTGGAAGTCCAATGAGAGAAGAACTTCTTTCACTTTGTTGTGCCATTCACGAGGGGCTTGTTTGAGGCCGTAAAAAAGGCGATTCAGCTTCCAGTCAGTGTTGGGAGGGAACTCTCCTGGAAAGCCTTCAGGTCGAAGTCTCCTTGAGGTGTCCTTGCAGGAAAGCTGAAGAGACGTCCATGGATTTGATCTCAAAGTTGTCTTGTGCGGCTACATCCAAGAGCGTGCGAACTGTGGGTGGTTTGGATGTGGGAGAGAAGGTTTTGAAGAAGTGAAAGTGCTGTTGTTGGGTGAATCCCTTAGCCACATAGCGTGCTTTGAACACGGGTGCCTTGTCCGGAAGCTGCTTCACTCAAACAGCCACTTGCCCCCGACGATGTTAACTCCTGGAGGTGGAGTTTCATCGTCAAAGGAGTGGTTGCGAGTGAAGGCTTCACAATCAGCTTCCATGGCAGCACGCCACTCGGCAGCATGTGGACCTGAGAGAGCTTGTTGGAGGGTGAATCAGTGATATCGGGGAAGATGTGCGAGAGCTGGGGAATGACAGCGTGAAGATCACACAGCTCCTCATGCCTGTCTTCCAAAAGGGTAGAAGGCACATCCCCCCCCGCAGGAGGAGTCGGAGTGATCACTGAGCATCGAATGGCGAGTGCCAGCGGAGGAGCAGCCCCATGCGACCGAGTGCCATGAGCCACCGGAGAGGAGGGTGGAGCGGGCGGCACTGGAGGGGTCGGTTTAGGGGGTTTGGGCGGAGGGATCAGTCGACGCTGGTAGGTGATCAATTCGGGCGGTTGTGGGAGAGTGGGTTCCTGAGTGGAAGGGGGAACGGAGGGAGGAGGTGGAACCGGGGGTTTCGACCGCCGATGGTATGTGATTGGTGCACTTGGTAGTGGGAGCGCAGATGGTGGAGTGGGAGAGGGGAGAGATGAGGGAGCAGCTGCCGTGGACACCGGTGAGGACGGGTCAGAGACCTCAAAGTGGAATGGTGCGATGGCAGGAGAGGTAGGGGGTGAGGGAGCTAGTGCAGGTGGAAGTTCAGGAGGTGCATCAAAGTCAGCCCACACAAGAGAGGGTGGTCCGGAGGAAGGATCCCCCTTCGAGGAGGAGTAGAAGGGGCGAGTCTCGTCAAAGACGACGTCACGGCTCCGGATTAATTGTTGAGTAGAGGGGTTGAGGAAGAGGGTAGTTAGGGGAGTCGGCGTTATGCCCAAGATATATGCATGTTTGAGTTTTGGGGCCGAGCTTGCCACCTTGCTGCCGCCGAGCCTGAGGGTTGAGGAGGACATAGGCGATGCACCCCCATAACCGAAGGGGGCGAGCAGTGGGTGTTTTCCCGAGCCAAAGTGTGGTGGGAGTGGTGTCGAGAAGATGCGGGTGAGGGTAGAGGTTGTAGAGGAAGGCGGCATGGTAGAGGGCGTACCCCCAGAGTGACAGTGGTGCGTTGGAGTGGCTGAGGAGGCAGCGGGTGATGTATGCCAACGTGTGATTGCGACTCTCTACGATGCCGTTCTGCTGCGGGCTGCCAGGAAGGGTGAAGTTTTGTAGAATGCCTTCTGAGGAGCAGAATGCCTTGAGCTTATCGTTGCAGAATTCACCACCACCATCTGAATGGAGGGGCTTGACCTTGCGGCCAAAGGTGGTCTGTGCCAGATTGACCCACGCCATGATGACCCCTGGAGCCTCAGCCTTAGTGTGCAGGAGGTGCATAGAGACGTAGCGGGAGTGGTCATCAACTAAAACAAAGAAATAACGATGTCCACCTCGTGCGGCAACAGGGGCAGGGCCCCAGACGTCCATGTGCACTAGGTCCAGTGGGGCTGCTGCGACTGAGGGTGAGGCAAGGTGGGGCTGTTGGCGTAGCTTGCTCTTGGTGTTGTCAATGCATGTGGGAGCGGGAGAGTCAGGTGGTGGAGGGAGTGAGGCTGGTAGGCCGAGAAGAAGTTTCTTGGAGGCCATGTCAGCGAGCGTGCGGAAGTTTGGGTGCCCGAGCCGATGGTGGTAGAGGATGGTCGGGTTGGAGAAGCTGCGACATGAGCATGGTGTGATAGCAGCCTGTGCTTGGGTGGTTGACACTTGTGGGATAGGTACTCGCAGTGTGTAAAGGCCGCTGCTATTAGGGGTGAAGCGAGCCAAGACCTTGTTGTTGAGTGGGTTGATGATGTCACAATAGTCCTTGTTCTCCGAGGAGATGGTGCGTAACCTCGCCTCCTGAATTTCTGTTTGAGCCACTTGATTGTGGCATAGTGAAGGCACGCACCTACCAGTGACAGTGCCGGATGGGAAGGCGGGGCATGGGACAGTGGACGAACCCTTGGCAAAGGTGATGAAGCTTGAATCAACTCGCAAGAGAGGAATAGGTGTTGAATAGGGTTTGAAGGAGAGTGTCTCTTTGAGCAATGTGTGGGTGGCCTCGCTGTCGAGTGTAAACTCTATGTATTGTGGTGCCTGCGGTGGGCCGATATGCTGCAAGGTTACTTCATTGATCATGGCGGTACCAGGGATTAACAAGTTGATAGTTGCCGAGGCGAAGGCCATGGTGAAGAACCTCTTTCTCGCGCGAAATGTCTCTCTTGAATCACCGATAAGAACTTCGGGTTTAGGGTTTACGAAGGAGAATTGCGAAGTAGGGTTTATGAAGGAGAATTTTGAGGAGAGGTTTGGCATTTTCGAAATCCGAAGGTCCCGAAGAGCAAAGAACGTCAATGTTGGCCGCTTCAAGATGTCTCATAGGAGGTTTAAGGCCGGCGAAAATAGGTTGAAACGGCCGATTTTGGTAGTGTCGACTAACTACTGACCCTGTTCCCACACACCCCCCCACACACCACCCTCAGCTTCGCGGCTACACTGCTGCTCAGCTTCACTGCTACACGGCTGCTCAGCTGCGCAGCTTCACCTGTTCAGTTGCGGGGTGATGGAAGTGCTGTTGCGGGGCGATGGGCGGCAGCTCGAAGGTGACGCTGTAGGGCGACGGGCGGTAGCCCGAAGAGAAGATGCAGGGCGATGGGCGGCAGCTCGAAGGGAAGCTGCAGGGCGACGAGCAGCAGCCCGACGATTGACGAGATGGGAAAAATTGGGTTATGCCGAAGCGGGAAGGACGGCGGGACAAATCCGCGGTGATGAGGGAGAGCGACGAGGAAATGGTGGCTACGGTTACCTTAAGTGAGACGCATAAATTGGTGCCTCGTAACTCAAGGAAAGGTAGTGTGGGAGAGAATCTACCCACGAAAGATGTCGCGAATCAACGGCTACGATGACGGCGCGGGAAAAATTCCGGCCGTGAAGATTAGGTTGATGAGGGTACTTTACTCGAGCGATGAATGTTGAAGGCGGCTTCGCCTAAGGGTGTGGGAGAGGATTCCGCAAAGGTAAAAGGATCAAGATCCGCATGTGCGGTTGAAGAGCTCTGATACCATGTCAGAACTTGAGCTTAGAATCCATGCATTAGTAATGAGCTCAAGGCTCCTTAAGTACATTGGAAATGGGCAAGGTAAGGGTGGGGAGAGAATCGGGGGCAATCCTAGGGGATTAGGGGCTTAGTTCAGAAAGACGCGTCCTGCGTCCTGGACGCATGCGTCCAGACGCATGCGTCCAGACGCAGGACGCTGACCCTTGACCTGTAAGACGCACCAAAAGACGCAAGCCCGGGCAGGGCAAAAAAAACCTCCGGGCAGGCCAAAAATATTGTATAGGGCTTGGGGTGGAAGAAGAAGGAATGCTCGAGGAAACCATAGCGGAGTTTAGGTGGTAAGCTAAGCTAAGGCCTAAAACCTCTATGGGTTTACGAAAGAGAATTGGTGAGGGGAAAATGAGAAGCCACAAAGGTTGTCATGCTAAATGTGCTTGGTGGTGGTGGGCTACAAAGGTTGGGATTCGTAGATGCCAAGTGGTTGAGAGGTTTGAGTGAAATTCAATTTTGGTTTAGTTGTTAGGGAATGTTAGGGGGGCTGGTTTTGAATGGCGAATTGGGCTTGGGGTGGGGAGATTTCGCGATTTCGACATTCGCGTCGAAATCGCGAATGCCAAAATCGCGATCGTATTTTTTTTTCGGGCTGCCCGAAAAATTTTTTGACGTGCGTCCTGCGTCTGGACGCGCGTCCTGCGTCCTAGCGTCCAGACGCTGCGTCCGGACGCAGGACGCAGCGTCCTAGCTGCGTCTTTCCGAACTAAGATTAGGGGTAATCCCAAGGCAATCTCCAATTGGTGGGTTGGAGATTGCTCGGAGATCATATTTGGGTTTGGTTAAGTGCAAACTACACTAAACTAGGATATAAAAAGTACAAGTACAATTGTGAGTAGGCATGATCATTAGGCCCGACCCGACCCGACCCGACCCGACTTGGGCGGGCCAGCCGGGTTCCGGGTCGGGTCGGGTCGGGTCGGAACTTCAAAAAATCCTGGCCCGACCCGGGTATCGGGTGCCGGGTCAGGCGTGACCCGCCCCCGGGTCGGGTCGGGTAGGGGCCGGGTCGGGTCGGGTCGGGCCAGGACCCCATATGCAGGGTAAGAGGTTCCTAAGTTGGAAAAAACGCTAGTTTCATGTTGCGTATTGAGTTTATACGCATCTAGAATTCGTACGCTGCGGATTTTTCTAAAATTCGCCAAATTTGGCTCGGGCTGACCGGAAAAAAAAATCAGATGAGTTCGCGATCTGGCGAACTCAAATTTGAGTCTAGAAATTCAGATCTGAGTTCGCGCGTTGCTAAAGCAACTTCAGATCTGAATTTCGAGATTGTTGGTGGATCATTCCCTCTTATCCACCGCTCACAACCCACCTTCACCCCATCCAATTTGTTGCCAACTTCTACCAGACTCACTCAATGTCAGGCCGCTTTTCCCTTCAATAATCTTTGCGTTCAATTTCTTCCTCTTCACTTTGACGATGACCTACTACAGCAACTCCGGTCTAGGGTTTAGACATTGACTTCGCGATCTGCTCTAGTGCAACTTGTCGAGGGAATGTCAATGTCGAGGGAACAAACAAACCCTAGACATTGACTTCGCGATCTGCTTTAGTGCAACTTGTCGAGGGAGGAAAAGTCGGGTTGGGCCAAATACTCGACCCGACTTAGGGCGCGGTACCCGAAACCGGGTCGGGTACGACTTCGGGTCTAAATCTGACCCGACCCGACCCGACCCGGTTTCGGGTGTCGGGTCGACCCGACCCGACCGGGTAAACCCGACCCGACCCGGCCGGGTCAGCGCTTCAAAATGCCTGACCCGACCCGGGTCAAAACCCGGGTCGGGTCGGGTCGACCCGACCCGCCGGGGCAGGATGATCATGCCTAATTGTGAGATTGAGGGCTAACATTAACAATTGGCGGCCGGCACTTTTTGAGGGACACCATGTTCCGCCTGGTTACCGCATTCCACATGAGTTCGCTGTGTTACATGTCAGTTGTGTTACATTGCATGTGAGTTTGCTGTACTACATGTGAGCTCGCTGTGTTCCATGTGAGTTCCCTGTGTTACATTTCCTTCTCTGCCTTCTCTGCTCCCTCCTCTCCCCCCTCTTCGTATTCCTTTGCTCCCATCCCTTCCTTCCACCTCTCCCTCCCTTCTTACCCCTTTCCTCCTCTTCTTCTGCCATCCTCCCCTCTCCACCCTCCTCTCCTGACAGGCTGTCATCTCAACCCCCACTGCCTTACCCTTTCGCCCATCCACTAACAGTTCCTCTTAGTGCTTCTTTCCAGAGAACTTTCTCCCCTTCCTCTCCCTCCCCTCCCTTTCCCTTCCTCCCTTGCCTTCTCCTGACAGAATCTCATCTCAACCCCCACAGCCTCACCCTATCGCCCATCCACTGATATCTCCTCCCAGTGCTTCTTTCCACCGCACTTCCTCCCCTTCCTCTTCTTTCTCCCCTTCCTCGTCTTCCCATCTCTTGCCCTCCCGATAGAACGTCACGCTGAACCCCACTGCTTTGCTTCGCCCATCCACTGACAGCTCCTCCTACTGCTTCTTCCCTTTCCCGTCCCCTCCTGACAGAATGTCATCTCAACCCCCACTTCCAGCTCCTCCTAGTGCTTCCTCCCCCTCCTCTCTTTCCCTTCCCTTTCCCGTCTCCTTCCTCCCCCTCCTCTCTTTCCCTTCCCATTCCCGTCCCCTCTTGTCTTCTCCTGACAGAATGTCATCTCAACCCCCACTGACAGCTCCTCCTCCTGCTTCTTCCCTTCTCAGCGCACTTCCTCCCCTTCCCTCATTTAGTTTCCCTCCCTTGCTCTCCTCACTTGCTCCCCTCCCCCCTCTGCCTCCTCTCCCCCAACAGAATGCCGCACTGAATCCCCACTGCCTCACCCTTTCGCCCACCCACGGACACCTCCCAGTGCTTTTTTCTCAGCGCACTTTCTCCTCTTCCTCTCCTTCTCCCCCCTTTCCCTTCCCCCCTTCCCTTCTCTCTACAGAACGTCACTCTCAACCCCCACTGCATCGCCTCCCAGCCACCCGCGAACACCTCACAGTGCTTCTTCCCACAGAATTTCCTCCCCTTCCTCCACACGCCCTTCTTCATTCTCAACTCGCTCTACGACTCCTGGCAGGTAAGGCTTGCTCTTTTCTCTTGCATTTCTATTGCAAACCACCCTTGAATTCCTGCCCCACACCACACCCTCCCCTTCCTCCACACGCCCTTCTTCATTCTTAACTCGCTCTACGACTCCTGGCAGGTAAGGCTTGCTCTTTTCTCTTGCATTTCTATTGCAAACCACCCTTGAATTCCTGCCCCACACCACACCCTCCCCTTCCTCCACACGCCCTTCTTCATTCTCAACTCGCTCTACGACTCCTGGCAGGTAAGGCTTGCTCTTTTCTCTTGCATTTCTATTGCAAACCACCCTTGAATTCCTGCCCCACACCGCACCCTCCCCTTCCTCCACACGCCCTTCTTCATTCTCAACTCGCTCTACGACTCCTGGCAGGTAAGGCTTGCTCTTTTCTCTTGCATTTCTATTGCAAACCACCCTTAAATTCCTGCCCCACACCACACCCTCCCCTTCCTCCACACGCCCTTCTTCATTCTCAACTCGCTCTACGACTCCTGGCAACTAAGGCTTGCTCTTTTCTCTTGCATTTCTATTGCAAACCACCCTTGAATTCCTGCCCCACACCACACCCTCCCCTTCCTCCACACGCCCTTCTTCATTCTCAACTCGCTCTACGACTCCTGGCAGGTAAGGCTTGCTCTTTTCTCTTGCATTTCTATTGCAAACCACCCTTGAATTCCTGCCCCACACCGCACCCTCCCCTTCCTCCACACGCCCTTCTTCATTCTCAACTCGCTCTACGACTCCTGGCAGGTAAGGCTTGCTCTTTTCTCTTGCATTTCTATTGCAAACCACCCTTAAATTCCTGCCCCACACCACACCCTCCCCTTCCTCCACACGCCCTTCTTCATTCTCAACTCGCTCTACGACTCCTGGCAACTAAGGCTTGCTCTTTTCTCTTGCATTTCTATTGCAAACCACCCTTGAATTCCTGCCCCACACCACACCCTCCCCTTCCTCCACACGCCCTTCTTCATTCTCAACTCGCTCTACGACTCCTGGCAGGTAAGGCTTGCTCTTTTCTCTTGCATTTCTATTGCAAACCACCCTTGAATTCCTGCCCCACACCGCACCCTCCCCTTCCTCCACACGCCCTTCTTCATTCTCAACTCGCTCTACGACTCCTGGCAGGTAAGGCTTGCTCTTTTCTCTTGCATTTCTATTGCAAACCACCCTTAAATTCCTGCCCCACACCACACCCTCCCCTTCCTCCACACGCCCTTCTTCATTCTCAACTCGCTCTACGACTCCTGGCAACTAAGGCTTGCTCTTTTCTCTTGCATTTCTATTGCAAACCACCCTTGAATTCCTGCCCCACACCACACCCTCCCCTTCCTCCACACGCCCTTCTTCATTCTCAACTCGCTCTACGACTCCTGGCAGGTAAGGCTTGCTCTTTTCTCTTGCATTTCTATTGCAAACCACCCTTGAATTCCTGCCCCACACCGCACCCTCCCCTTCCTCCACACGCCCTTCTTCATTCTCAACTCGCTCTACGACTCCTGGCAGGTAAGGCTTGCTCTTTTCTCTTGCATTTCTATTGCAAACCACCCTTAAATTCCTGCCCCACACCACACCCTCCCCTTCCTCCACACGCCCTTCTTCATTCTCAACTCGCTCTACGACTCCTGGCAACTAAGGCTTGCTCTTTTCTCTTGCATTTCTATTGCAAACCACCCTTGAATTCCTGCCCCACACCACACCCTCCCCTTCCTCCACACGCCCTTCTTCATTCTCAACTCGCTCTACGACTCCTGGCAGGTAAGGCTTGCTCTTTTCTCTTGCATTTCTATTGCAAACCACCCTTGAATTCCTGCCCCACACCGCACCCTCCCCTTCCTCCACACGCCCTTCTTCATTCTCAACTCGCTCTACGACTCCTGGCAGGTAAGGCTTGCTCTTTTCTCTTGCATTTCTATTGCAAACCACCCTTAAATTCCTGCCCCACACCACACCCTCCCCTTCCTCCACACGCCCTTCTTCATTCTCAACTCGCTCTACGACTCCTGGCAACTAAGGCTTGCTCTTTTCTCTTGCATTTCTATTGCAAACCACCCTTGAATTCCTGCCCCACACCGCACCCTCCCCTTCCTCCACACGCCCTTCTTCATTCTCAACTCGCTCTACGACTCCTGGCAGGTAAGTCTTGCTCTTTTCTCTTGCATTTCTATTGCAAACCACCCTTGAATTCCTGCCCCACACCACACCCTCCCCTTCCTCCACAAGCCCTTCTTCATTCTCAACTCGCTCTACGACTCCTGGCAGGTAAGGCTTCCTCTTTTCTCTTGCATTTCTATTGCAAACCACCCTTGAATTCCTGCCCCACACCACACCATCCCCTTCCTCCACACGCCCTTCTTCATTCTCAACTCGCTCTACAACTCCTGGCAGGTAAGGCTTGCTCTTTTCTCTTGCATTTCTATTGCAAACCACCCTTGAATTCCTGCCCCACACCACACCCTCCCCTTCCTCCACACGCCCTTCTTCATTCTCAACTCGCTCTACGACTCCTGGCAGGTAAGGCTTGCTCTTTTCTCTTGCATTTCTATTGCAAACCACCCTTGAATTCCTGCCCCACACCACACCCTCCCCTTCCTCCACACGCCCTTCTTCATTCTCAACTCGCTCTACGACTCCTGGCAGGTAAGGCTTGCTCTTTTCTCTTGCATTTCTATTGCAAATTTGAGCTTTCTAGTTCGACTCAAAAACCACTTTCTTTAACCTCAACTCGCACCCTCGCCCACTCCTTTGCATCTTTCATAGACTTCCCAGAAAGCGCATGGCGTGCGTGCCGTGCCGCGTGTCTGCAAGCTCTCTCAACCTCACCTTTTTCCTCTTGCACTGTGCTGCCCAACGCCCCCTCCACTCCACGCCATCCGCAGATCGCCCACTCCTTTGCATCCTTCACAGTCTTCAAAGAAAAGGCGTGGCACGTGTGGTGCATGGCCTGCTGCTGCAATCTTTCCTACCCTCATGCATTGTGCTGCCCAACGCCCCCTCCACTCCACGCCATCCGCAGATCGCCCACTCCTTTGCGTCCTTCACAGTCTTCCCAGAAAAGGCGTGGCACTCGTGCCGCATGTCGCTGCAGGGGTGCAATCAGGAGCGGCTCGATCTTATTCATGGTACGAAAGCATGGTCGATGTGCTAATAATGTCATAGATCCATGTGTAAGTAACAGGGAAAAACAACTGTACTGCTGGCTGGTTGTTAGGGTTAGCCCTTGCTCTTCTTTTCTCTCGCATGTCTCCATCTCATCACTTATTTCATCTGTTCCTCTCTCGCCCTCGCCTTCCGTTGTCTCCCACTTATTTTCCTCCCCTTATTTTTCTCATCTTGTTTTTCTCCTCTTATTTTCCTCCCCTTATTTTTCTCATCTTGTTTTTCTCCTCTTATTTTCCTCCCCTTATTTATCTTATCTTGTTTTTCTCCTCTTATTTTCCTCCCCTGATTTTTCTCATCTTGTTTTTCTCCTCTTATTTTCCTCCCCTTATTTTTCTCATCTTGTTTTTCTCCTCTTATTTTCCTCCCCTTATTTTTCTCATCTTGTTTTTCTCCTCTTATTTCCTCCCCTTATTTTTCTCATCTTGTATTTCTCCTCTTATTTTCCTCCTCCTAGTCTCCTCTATCTCACACATGGCAACCCCACCCTCCTGCCCTTCGATCCTCTTGTCTCCCACTTCCCCCCATCTCACTCAGTCAAGGCTGCTCTTTCCCTCCCCCTTCTCCTTCTTCTCCCACATTCCCCCGTCTCGTTCAAGGCAACCCCACTCTCGCCCTCACCTCCTCTCTCTCCCACATTCATGTTTTGATTCTCCCCCTCTCGCCTCACCTCCTGCTGTCGCCCACGTTTTGGCCTCGCCCCCCCCTTCCCTGCGTTAACAGCCTATCGGGATGAGACGGTGGGCAAGGTGACGCCCCTCCTCTCCTCTCCTTCCCCATCCCAAGTTCTGCCTCTCACCTTCTCTCCTTCTCTCCTTATCTCCTTGCCGCCCTCCCTCCCCCCCCCCCCCCCCCCCTTTCCCTGCCCCAACAGCCTATCGGGATGAGATGGTGGAAAAGGTGTCGCCCCTCCTCTCGTCCAATCGCAGCGCGCCACCTGTCCGGCGCCTGTTGGCTGCAGCATCAAGCGAAAGTTCAGCAAACGGAGCGTACCTCGTGTCCTGCCGAGCACACTGCATGGTGAGTAGGTGCAAAGATCTGATGTGATTGCATGGCAAAGAAATGCAAATTTTTTTATGGATAACAGCTGAGATTTGTTGACGTTGTGTGTGGGACCTTCGTCATTCAATATTCCCTAGAGTCTGATTTATGCCAGAACCCATAACAACCAATGTGGCATGCATGGCATGGCAGCATCACTCCATATTCCCAAGAGTTTATTCCATTGTATGGCATGTGAGATGGCTGTAGGGGGCATCGTCCCATGTGACGTGGTGACTTTGAGTCGACTCAAAAGCATCACTCCTCCCACATTCCATACTATGGCATGTAATATGGCCCCATGCGGCATCGTCCCATGTGACATGGCCCCATCCCATGCGGCATCGTCCCATGTGACATGGCCCCATGCGGCATCGTCCCATGTGACATGGCCCCATAGGGGCATGGCAGCATGGAATGTCAGCAGTGCTGATCTCCCTCATCTTTCCACACTTTCCATACTCCATGTCTATCCCATGTTTCTTGTCTCCCATTCACGCATGAGATCCATCCATCTCCAGTGTCCATCACACAGGTCATTTTTTAGGAGCCTCAAAAATCCATTCACCACACGCTTGTGACCCATCCATCTCATGTGTCCATCACACAGGCCATGGGCCCCATGTCACCCCTCCTCTATCCCATCCCATCCTGATTTATGGGTCGACTCAATAATAATTCCCTTACCTGTAATCTGTTACACAGGCGATGCGTCCAGTCTATTCTTTAGACGTCTCAAAACAATTTGTGTTTACATGGCACATGTGTCTATGCTGTCTCCAGGCCTTCAACCCCACTCTCACATCGTCCTTCTCCTGCTGTGATCACTGTACAGGCCATGAGTCCCATGTTGCTCCTCCCCGCATTCTTCCAATTTCTCATGTGTCCCTTCTGAGAATTTTCATCCTTTTGCAATCCGTGTTACAGGCAATGGGTCCCATGTGGCATGGCAGCACTGCCCCACAAATACACAACAAGGTACGCTCTTGTCAATACTTTTCCCGTAAGTTTACCGTAGATTTCTTTATTTGTTCCATAGCTCGCATGCATTATTCGTGTGTTTCCAATTATTTTCCCCTCTGCACCCTTTCTTATCCCCCCACAGACGATGGCAGAGGCAGTGGGAGACTGGTTCTTTGACAGGCAGAGTGTATCCCTTGTCGATTGTAAACACCCCTGTAATCCCACATGCGCATGATTATAGTTGATTTTCTTTTGCATGCCACTTTGTGTTGCATGTAGCATTTATAGTTATGTAGCAGGGCCTCAGAAGTCAGCGAAAAAAGGCTGATTAGGGGTAAAAAGGCTGAGATTTCAGTGCTGGGAAGAAAGGGGGGCTGATTTGTCAGCATTTTTTTCATTGTACCGGCTGATTTTTCAGCATTTTTTTCATTGTATGGTCTGAAATTTCAGAGTTTTTTTAGAGGTGTAAACTGACTGATCAGCGTTGTAACGGGTGTGTGGGCTGAAATCCCACTAGTGGAGATTCGTGCAGTGCCGAGAATCAAAAACCTGCCTGGCCAATCAGATGGCACGAATGTGCAATCTAGTTTCTGGTTTCTGGATGCAAGTCTTACAGCTTGACTCGTCACTACAGATTTGCCCGAGACAGCAAATTCGCCCCTACAGAACAGATTCGCCCTGTCAGAGCCACAACAATTTCGCCCAATCACAAGAATTTTTGCTCTGACACAACACGTTCTTCCAGAAATTCGCCCAATCACTGGAAATTAGCTCGGATTCGCCATGTTGTTGCCGATAGAAGGTACTGTATCTTCGTGTGTGAAGCTGTGTAGGCACGTCGTGTGCACTGTTGGCAGCACGTCGCGTGTTGCGCTATAGGAAAGCATGAAGTTGTGTTCAGCCTTTGTTTTTAAGCAAGGCTGAATGATCAGCCAATTTTTGAAACTAAGCACTGAAATTTCAGCTTTTTTTTTCAAGGCTACCCTGATTAATCAGCCTTCATCCCACTCCCAAGGTTGACGATTCAGCCTAGGCCAAAACGAATCTGAAGCCCTGTTATGTAGATTGATATTTTGTAAGCCACATAAATAGTTTTTCCTGAGAAAACTGAAACGAGAATGAAATGACTAAGGGAAAGTTGGGTACAAGTACAAACCCTAGAAAGCTGTACCCCATATGTGTTACCCCACTATAGCCTACAGTAGCTATGTCATATAAATCTGACACACCCCCATAGGCAAAGTGGGGTAGAACAAGGGGTCACAAGACCAGTCAAGCAAAGCAAAGCAAAGCAAGCTCAAGGTGGATCACAAAGTCACCACACATTCCGAGCACAAGTTCAAGGCCACAAGGCCAGTTCACATGCAGGAGTACATATATATAAAAGACTAGACAAGCAAGAGCAGGTGTATATATATGCAACAGTACAAGCAAGGTCAAGAGGTGAGCAAGTGAGGCAAGACAGGCACAAGACCCAGCTGTGTGCAGAAGCGCTGATGATCACAAGGCGCAAGTGCCTTGGTGAAGACATCAGCAGTGTTGGCCTCAGAGGCCACGTACGCAAGCCGCAACTGACCACGCTGCTGTAGCTCACGAGCAAGAAAGTAGCGAAGAGCAATGTGCTTTGTTCTGTGCTCCAGTCTCTGCTCTCGACACAAGGCCAGCATGGCCTTGTTGTCTACGTACAGGACTGGAGAAGAACAAGGCGACTCTCCAAGGTCGGTCAGCAGGTAGGTGAGCCAGCGAAGCTCCTGTGCAGCCATGGCCCCGGCGTAGATCTCGGCCTCACAACTGGAGCCGAGAACAGAAGACGAGCGAGTAGTCCGCCACGAAACAGAGCCGGAACCAAGGCTGAAGGTGTAGCCCTGTGACGACCGCTGCGTAGCCCGGTCGTCAGCCCAAGAAGCGTCCGCGTGCCCAGTGAGGACCACTGGACTCCGCCCTCCAAGCACTAGCCCCATGCCCGACGTACTGCACAAGTAGCGCAACACCCTCTTCGCTGCAGCCATGTGCTCTGGTCGGTGTCTACCAGGAGCAACATAGCGTGCGAGAATGCTAAGAGGGTATGCAAGGTCAGGTCGTGTGCAGGTCATCAGGTACATGAGGCAGCCAACAAGCTCTGGATACGGGCCACTCGACTCTACGGACTCATCCGAAGGCAGAGCTGAGAGCGAGTGGCGAGTAGGCAGAGGAGTGGCCTGAGGCGAGGGGTACGTGAAGCCGAAGCGCTGAAGGACCTGCTGCACCATGTGTGACTGAGTCAGAGTAATGGTGCGCTGTGCTCTGTCCCGGGTGATCTGCAAGCCAAGGTAGCTGCGCAGTTCACCCAGGTCTGTGCACTTGTGTCTCTTCTGCAGCTCGGACTTCACGTAGGCGAGTCCAGCAGTGTCAGCTGTGGCAAAGAACAAGTCCTCGACGTACACGAGGATGTAGAACGGCGGCAGAGAAGTGTCGGTGCGCAGAAACAGCAACGGGTCGGCAGTAGAAGGAGCAAACCCAAGAGCCGCAAGCGTAGTCCTCAGTGTGTCGTGCCACTCACGTGGCGCCTGGCGGAGACCGTAGACTAGACGCCGGAGACTCCACTGGGTACCAGGAGGGAAAGACCCAGTGAAGCCAGGTGGGCGGCGCAGCCAGATCTCCTCGTGCAGGCTGCCCTGCAAGAAAGCTGTGCTGAAGTCGAGAGAGTGCAGCTCGTAGTCACGGTGAGCAGCAACGTGCAGGAGTACCCGAAGAGTGGTCATCTTCGGGGTGGGAGAGAAGGTCTGAAAGTAGTCAACTCCCTGCCGCTGACTGAAGCCACGAGCCACGTAAGGCGCCTTGAAGACAGGCGGAGAACCCGGCGGCCGCTTCACCCTGAAAATCCACATGCCACTGACGATGTTCGCCCCAGGAGGGGGGACAGCGTCAACGTAGGTGCCTGTGGACTTCAAGGAAGCCATCTCTGCATCCATAGCTGCCTGCCACTGAGAGGAGTAGGGACCCTCTATCGCCTCCGCGTAAGAGCGCGGAGTCGGGATGTCAAGTGCATCCGGGTCTCCCTCAGGGGTAAGCAGTACGGACACGAGATGAGGTGAAGCAGCTGCCAAGAACTGGAACTCCTCCTGCCTGTCCTCAACGACGTCCGTGCCAAGGGCACACTCACCCCCGACGGACGAAGGACAGACAGACTCAGACTCAGCGACAAGACTAGCAGCGTAGTCTAGGCGACAGCGAGCAGCTCAGCAACTAAAGCAGACGCAGCAGTGGACTCGAAGGAAGGGTCAGTGACGACAGTAGCCAGGAGACGCGTGACAGTAGGACTGGCAGCACGAAGAGAGTCCGACTCCGGGTCGGCAAAAGCAGGAAGAGAGGACGCAGGAGGACAAGGCAAAAGGGCACGCAGAGGAGCAGTGGATGGACGCAGAGACATCCTGTGCGAGCCAGGGACAGGAGGAGGACGCTGACGCGAACCACGACCACTAGCGCGAGCAGCACGGACAGGCGACGCAGGGCGAGACGCAGGCTCACGACGCTCAGTAAGACCTCCAGTAGGACTAGTGTAGGGAGAAGGAGCAAGCAAAGAGGAGGTAGGCTGCAACTGTAACTGTGACGGGACTGGCTGTGGACACGCTAAAGAAGGAGGAGGACCAGTAGAAGGCGGAAGACAAAGAACCTGCTGCAGGAGTGGAACGAAGTACGGTCGAGGCCGCGCGGCGACGCCAGACACAGCAAAGACAGCACCAGCACCCCCAGCAGGAGCACCCGCTCCAGCTGCACCTCCAGTAGCGCCAGAACCTCCAGCAGTACCAGGAGTACCCGCAGCAGTACCGCCAGCAGTAGTCTCAGCTCCAACACCCTCAGCAGCACCAGCTCTAGTCGAACCCGCAGGCCCAGCAGCTCCATTACTCCCAGTACGAGCACCTCCGGGACCCGCGACAGCAGCACCCTCAGTAGCCGAAGAACCTCAAGCACCAGCAGCACGCCTCCAGCGTCGGGCAAACCACTCGCGCAGCTCCCGTGGAGAGAGTGGCTCCCGCAGAGACGAAGCACCCGGAGAACCTCCAGGCGGAGCACCTCCAAGCTCACCACCCCCAGGCTCAGCACCCCCAGGCTCAGCACCCCCAGGCTCAGCACCCCCAGGCGCAGCACCCTCAGACTCAGCACCCCCAGGCTCAGCACCCCCAAGCTCAGCACCCCCAGTCGCAGCACCCCTAGGCTCAGCACCCTCAGGCTCAGCACCCCCAGTCGCAGCACCCCCAGGCTCAGAACCCTTAGCAGCACCAGAGTCACCAGTGACCTCGACAGGCTCGACTGCGTCTACCTGGGACACACCTGAAGGGGACGGACCCTGGGGGGGGAGGGGGTCTACCGGAGGGGGACCTGGTACAAGGAAGAGCGGCGGCGGGGGGAGGGACAGAGTGCGGTAGGGGAAGAGGCGGTAGTAGGGGACCGACTCGTCAAACGTGACGTCCTGGGAGGACAGAACACGGCGAGAGGTGGGGTGGTAGAACTGCCACCCAGGCGCGTCAGGGGGGAACCCCAGGAAGACGCAAGGAGCAGCACGAGGGGACAGCTTGTCCGCAGACAAGTCGCGGACAAACGCCCGAGCTCCCCAGACCCGGAACGCCGACGCATCGCCAACCTTCCCCGTCCACAGCAAGGCTGGGGAGGTCTCCGGCCTGGAGACCCTGGGGTGTAGGTTGATCTGATGCGCCGCGTACCTCACCGCAAACGGCCACAGAAAATGGGGAGCAGCCGCTGGCATCATAGACGTACGAGCGACGTCCATGACCATGCCAATGCGGCGCTCAGCAATCCCATTTTGCTGCGGGGAGTCCGGAAGCGTGAAGGTCTAACGGATTCCTCGTGCGCGACAGTAGGCTCTCAGAAAGCCAGAAGAAAACTCTCCGCCTCTGTCCGAGTGCAGACGCAGATCAGGAAAGTCCGAGCAAAAGCTCAGCCTGAGCTGGAGACGAGCTGCGCGGATCCAGTCGATCAGCACCTCAGTGACATCACCCTTGCTGCGAAGGGGAAGACTGTGGTGTAACGCGAGTAGTCGTCAACAACAAGCAGGAAGTAGCGCTCGTGACCCTGTCCACGGACGCGGGCTGGGCCCCACACGTCCATGTGAAGCGTCTGCAACGGGGCCTCTGTTGGAGGAAACTGGGAGGAGTGAGGGGCAGCACGCTGGCGCCCCTCGACACAGGGGACACAGGTAGGGCCAGGGCCCTGAGGAAGGGGAGGGAGGGACCGAGG